TCCATGTGTTATTACAATCTTAAAAAAATATACAAAATTATAGAATTCCACAACATTTTATTTATCAAAGAATGTCAAATAATCCAACTACATTAAACATATTTCACCTTTGCTATTTTTATTCAATCATATCGGATACAACCATAAACAATTATATCGGTGTTATAGTGCATATTTGTTTCACATAACACAATACACACCTAGTTGACATATTATGTAAAAAGACATTATTTGGCAGAATAGAATATTATTTAAAATGTTGTGTGGAGTGAAATGTGTAATTAATCTCGAAGCTTGACACCAAATCACAATATTAGAACATATTTCAAATTTGCTATTTAGTTGACACATTCATTTGTGCACTGTTCTAATCATTTTTCATATTTCAAATAATGCTATGCCATAAGTTTAATATGTGATACTTAAAACTAGTTATATATTTATAACTAATCCTAATCGATAAATGTTTTGTGAAATGTGAAACATTTATTGAACCATGTCAGACTTTCAACAAACTTGAAGCATATTTCACATTTACAATTTAGGATGCAACTATAAACATTAATATTCGTGTTATATTAAATATAATTTCACATAACACAAGACATATCTAGTTGACTTATTATGTAAAAAATATTTTATTTGCACCAAACCATTTTTGCAAAATACTGAAAGATATAACATTTATTAAACTATAAAATGTTAACTATCATATAGCATAAAGTACACATGCATATGATATTAAATATTTCATTGATTATACACATTAATGTGTTCAATGTTCTAATCAATTTTCATATTTTACATTTAGTATGTCATATGTGTAATATGTGAATCTTACAAGTAGTTATACATTTAGAGCTATTCCTTATTTCATAAATGCTTTGTCAACTTTGTAATATGTGATTTTTCCGGAAAAAATTCTTATGTGGAAATATGAAAATTGTTTTTTTTTTGTGAAATCATAAAATTTACCTTCTTTTACATAAAGGAATGCGTGAGATTTTTTTGACACTTCACATTTTGAATATAAATTTTTTAATCAATGATTTTTTTCACACTTCACAAATTTTTTCGCACTTCAAAATTTGAATGATATGTTGCTAAACAGAGAAGCATATGTCCTCTTTTCACACTTCCAACGAAAGAAGATCCACAATTTGAGGGGAAGATTCGAAGTTTTAATTATTACAAAATACATAATATGTTGCCAAACAGAGATAAGCATAGGTTGACACAGTGCTTTTCAATATCTTTTAATTCAAGATATGTGATATTTATTGATCTTCAGCTCTTCCACTAATCCTTCATGATTATTCTTCTTCGTCATGGGATACACCTACATTTCCATCATGTAAATATTAGTTATATAAATAGAATGAAATGTTTTTTAAGCATTAAATAAGAGCAAATGAAATAATTTATCTAAACATTCATAGTGTTAAATGAAAATTCAATAATATTCAGCTGGAATATAGAAAGTCTTGTATGGATAGGTTGCTCTTGTTATCTCTGTTCCAAACATCTTTTTTGTTGTTCCATTGACCATATTAAACTCAAATATCCCATAGTCAGTCCTAATTATCATTGCATCACGATCATCATAAAATATGAAGTATTATTTCGAATGGGACCAGCATCCATGTGCAATGCCTTGAACTGGAATTATGTTTGTGAAATCTATGAGCTTGAAAGGAGTCCAGCTTATCTCATCAGTTGTATCATATATACTGCATCTTCCACAAGATTATTCTAAATGCAAAGAATGTAGCAATACCTACATCCTCCTCTTCAATTTTCAGAACATGAAC